AGTTCTTTTAGCTCGCTGGGGAAGCCTTTAAATTATGACATAATTACAAGGGAAAACATGATATACAAGGATGATGTTTATTCCCAGGTACAGTAACAGTGAAGGGCCTTTATAATGCAGGCCCGTATCAGGGGAAAAGTTTATGTTTCTTTCGCACAGTAGTTGCCTATCATTCGCTGCTGGGTCAAAAGCGCAAATAGCTCGTAAGTGGAGTGCGTCACGTCGGGCCGCGCTGAGGATCCTGAAGTGCTGCTTTATTAAGAGGAAGTTCACACATCAGCATCTGTGATAAAGCATTATATTTTCCTACAGTCTCCAGCAGTGATCATCAACTGCCGGCCCGTGTGCTGAGTCTCTGCCGCCAAATTGTCCAATCCCTGAGACTGGATTCTAAAATAAACATCAAATAATAATGTCACACAAAAACGTTTTTTATTTCATTTTATTTGAGTGTCCGGCCCCAAGATGTCCAGAAAAATCTATGCCTCCGACAATTATGATTGGCATTGCTCATAAGTGTACCACTGCTATAATGCTTGCTGCCAATCCTTCTGTCCTTAAGGGGGGGCATCACAGAATTTGAGAACCACTGCTCTACAGACAGTATTTTCTCTGATTTACTGTGTATGAAGGAAGCTTTCAACCACCTCACTTTGAACTCCAGTTTCATCCTTCTCTTTGCTCCTACCAACCCTACTATGATCCATTCTACAAAGCGAAGTGGTCAGAGATAAAAATCTTCAGTCGGTGCTCTGTTTGAACATGTATTCAAATATCTATCTGGGGCTAATGAAAGGCCGGTGTGAGTTTGACAAATCAACTGGATACCTTCCACGAAGAAGGTCTTTTCCGGCATCACACCTTTCAGCAGCATCAGAAAACAGTCCAACAACAGAATTGCGGTTCAATCTTGCTGATTCCCACTTACACCCTTTGCTCCCAGTCCACTTCCATCCCTCCCACCCTGTCAGCTCACATCTGCCCTGGATTTTCAAGCCTTTTCATATTTTCCACTTGCCTGCCATCCCTCCCATTGCAACTTGGGAGAAATCAAGAGAGTTACATGACTGTGTGTTTTTGTGTGTGTGTACTGTACGCAGCGTGTGCAGGCGTGAACACATGCATGTGTGACAGCGATGAAGACAGGCAGGTGAGGGGAGGCCAAGGGTGGGCTCGAGCTCTTGACGTTCCAGTCAATAATACTTTTCCTCCGGTTGAGGTGTGCTCGTCAGGAGGGTGTGTTACTGCTGGAATAATGAACAGACGTCTGGCTCCATGCCTGATCAAATTCCACCAGCCTCATATCTATCTTGCCTTCCAAAAATGTTCAGCATACCAGTGGGTTTTATTGACTTGTCAGAGCAGACAGCCGGGTGCAAGCTCTGCCTTGTAAGGTGTGCAGTTAGCAGGTTCCCTGAGCAGAAACGTCAAGTGATGACCTTTCCAGTAATAAGTTCGGTGTGTTTAGCCAAAATTGACGAGCGATGATTGGAGGTACAGCTAATGCCAGAGCGGTGTCTGTCGTAACTGGACTTAACCCTGTCTGTGCATGTTTGTTTGACAATATCTCAAATATGACGCTGTGTCCTGATGCCTCGCAGGTATCAGTGCTTCACTGAATTCCAACAGCAAAAGCATCTTAACCAATGAATAATAATATAAAAAAAACACTAAAAAGTCAGCAAAAATTGCAGTGTTCTTGATTCAAATGGAAAAAAAAGCCTATGAAGAGCACATGTTTCAGGGGAACTCCGTTTCATCAGTTTCACACATTAATGGCCTCGTATTGAAGAAAGGCAGCTGTGTGAAGTTTGATCAGTTCCCGGATGCACATGGTATTAAAAAGACATCAGCAGAATAAAGCTGCACCAATATATTTTCAATGATGTAAATCCCTCAGGTGTCGTTTTATTTTATTCTAATAAAGATGGAAAAAACACAAAGTGGGTTTGAAGAGACAGTTTTATTTTATTCTAATAAAGAAAAAAGAAAAAAACACAAAGTGGGTTTGAAGAGACTTATGCTGATAAACTTTGATTACTCCCCTGCAGGAGGTGCTACAGTATAAATATGGTGTCTTGGTCCTTTAATCATTTACATAACACTTATCTTATTAACTAATCAAAAAGCCCTCCAAACCCACCTACAAGAAATTACAAAAGTTACTGCAGAAGGTTCAACATTTTACTCATAAACATTTTCAACCAGGAATTTGCATAAGAAAGACATAACTAGAACTAAATGAGAGATGGGATTAGATTTTATACAAATCAACTGATTATTTTATAGGGAATGACAGCTTTCTAAACCATTGAAAACCATGAGTGTGTATCTGTTTAGAGAGGATAAAATTAGCTTATTCAGTATCTGGGCTTCACTTTATGAGAGGTAGAAATTTTGCTGAAGTGAGCATGAAACATTACAAAACTTTTCTTTTTTAAATGAAAAAAGTTTGTTTTGTTTCCCAGATTTGTGCAGATTGGTCCAAAACACTGCCTGGAAATCTCGTGGGTTGATTTTCATTTGTGAATCTGAGTCAGGCACAATAGTGCGATGGTAAAGGGCCAATGTTGACAGATGCTACGCTGCTATCTGTGTCATAATGAGTTTAGTCTACCCCGCCTTCCCTCTGCCTGCATTGCTCTCTCACCCCCCCATCCTGCAAATACAGTTAGCTGCATGACAGTCTGCGCTGAGTGTCTGTTAACAGCTGCCATTTTTTTATGCTTCTTTGTGATAGCATGTAATTGCATTTGGCCCTGGGTGTACTGGCACTTATTAAACCAGTGTCAGTGCCCATTACATTCCACAGCAGTGCAACTCAGGTGCAGAATGCAAATCATACACACTGAGAACAGCATTGAGTGGAGAACACCTGCAATCAATGATTCTCTTCAACATAAGTCAATAAGCTAGGTTGCACTGTTAGTCTTTTTTTCCCCCCAAAAAATTATACTTCTGAAATATATTTGTCAAACAAGTCGCATTGATGCACGGGGAAGAGAAAACGCTGTTTAAATGTGCAAACACAAGGCTGCTGGTGGTGAACAGCCCCACAAAACATCACAGCTCCACACTAGTCAAGATATCACTACATCTGGCTGTCTATGACTAGACTTTGGCTCAAACACCTCTTGTTCTAAGATGCAGCTTTTATATCCCAAACTAATAGTTTTGACTGATTAGATTTAGGTACAAAAATAATAAGCCATGTACACAACATGATTTTAAAATGCATTAATAGCACCACCTGCTGGGGAGGAAGAGGCACTTTTCGCTATGTTTTAAAAGCCTCAAATACCACAATATGTACAATATATGTATCAGATACTGCTGACTACATTGACTTGATTGAACAATGGAAATAAAAACACTATCACTCATGATGTAGTTGGAGTAACGTTAAATATTGTAGAATTTTGAGCTCAGAAAAACTTCTGCTGTGATGGAACCAGAGCCACGACATAATCAAATACAGGATTCCACAAATGCCCACTGTCACGGTCAGAGTCAACTTTAGACCTAATTTGCTGATCCATCCAATTTCTGAGCCTAATGTTTTTCCTCCTTTAAAAAATGAAGACTAAACATTTCTTCATGAAATCAATCTGAGTGTCCTGAATCAACTCTGCTGACTGGAAGAAAAAGACCTGCCTAAAATAATTGTTATGCAAGTACATTTGTAGTGTGTTAAAAAACAAACAAAAAAAACTTTGCAACTAAACTTTTTTTTTACAAGCATCAGCAACTAGGATACATGATGTGTTCTCTGTCTGCGTAAAACAAACAACCAATCAGTTGTGCAAGGTATGGTTAATAAGACTCCAGTGTTTCAGTAAAAAAAAAGGAAAGCTCTTCAGGACAGATACCGCATGTGCAGCAATTTTCAGGTGCAGTCTGACACCTAGAGGCTAATGTGTGCACACACACTCACGTATTCACCTCAACATTACCACACCCAGAAAAAACAAAACCTTTACCCAGGGATTAGAAATCAGGAACATGCCTTTAATTAGTGAGCTCATGTTCTGTCCTCCGTTTATACACCGCTAATGAGAAATGAGCCGGAGTGATTTGCAGTGCTGCAAAAAGCCAACAGAGGGCAATGTTTGTTTACATTCCGCTGACGATAAGCGTTTGGATAGTGTACAGCATTTGAAATAGGGCTGTCGAAGTTCTGTTAATTAACATGTGGAGATTCATCTAAAATTTTAACGCATTGGCTGAAAGGTGAGCAGTTTATGTCAAATAATTCATTCATCCACCTTTTGTTGCTGTAATACACATTCGATATACACGTTGTATCTTAAAAAACGCCATCTCAACACAGAGACTTCCGGTTAGACGCCCAGCTAGCAGACCAGCCTCATCGAGTACAGGGCGGTAAGTCTTCGGCTAACAAGCTGGCTAACATACTGGTTTGCGAAAAAGTGTAGACAAATATTAAG